TAATAGGCTGCAATTAAACGCAACTCAATTTCGTAAATGTGCCCTTCAGTTTAGCAACCAATCAGAATGGGGCGGGAATTATTATATCCGCCATCTTTGTAAGCAATGGCAGTCGGCTTTCTTCGTTCTGTTCTTTTTTCAGATATCTCTTCTGTGTAGCTATGTAATTTAACGTTTCAGTGTGCTAAAATGCTGCAGTTGGTGTAATGTTCTATATCTTGGTGTGAAGTTTACTTCGAATCAGCCTTGTTTTTTTTGGGTTTTGGCTGCTTCTACTCAAGTCAATGTAATTCTTCAGTCAACCTGGCTAGTCTTATGTTTTAAAATGGTAATCGGTTTTGTATTGACTTGTTTTCTAGCCGAAGTTCGTTTTTTTAGCCAAACTAATTGTTGCTGCCGCCTGTGACTAACTGTCCGCATGTTCGTTCCTAACTGTCGTTCATGATGTTATCGGCAAAATGATAGGAAACAATCTCCAGTTTGTAATTTTCTTCAGTATTATGGACAACACTACCTAACGTGAATTGTTCTTTCGTCGTATCCAAGTACCATGGCCACTTTGATAACCGCAGGTGGAGTTATTACAAAATGATATTAGCATGAGTAGGCACGAGAATCAAAGTGCGATCAGCCCAGAATGGGCCTAACCATGGCCTACAATAATTGCTGTGCATTATTCGGCCTTGACTTCGAAGAGGATCGGTGAACTGTTCGATATTCAGTGATTCGACCGCTAGATGATTTAAGTAAGGCTCAGTGACATTTCACTGGTTCCACAGATCTATTTATTTTGGGCATATATTTGCCGCTACACTAGTAGAACTCGAGCTTCCAGTCTTTCCATCACTGCTTCTGCAATAAGTCCTGACATTTGGGCACAGTATGCTTGTTAGTTTACGGGTTTTCGCGCACGTGTAACGTATTGTCGTGGATTTTATGTGTCGTTATTTATCAGCTATTAACAGCCTTTTTTCCGTCATACATGACTTTTCGTAATCTTTGTGATTGGAAGATAGTTTTTGTTTCAATTTATAAGCAGTTTGACGTATTTCGTGCTCACCACCTAAGTAAATATGTAGCTGGCGTAATATGGTTTATTTTTAACAATACTAAGTCAAAGAAGTCAAATCACCATTTTTCTAGTCAAAAATAGATTACAGATTGAGTTTTCATGAAAATAAGCCGTAAAAAGAATTATATATGGTTCACCTCCTTGATTATGGTGACGGCAAACACAGATGTTGGTAGTCGTTTATAAAATGTAATTAGAAAGAAGTAAGCGTTAAAGTAACTATGAATATTATATAAATTGTCGTCAAAGCTTTGTGATGATGTTTACGCCGGTCTACAACTTATAGAATTTGTGATTATGGAAGACCATATTAAAATCATTTTTATTCAACAAATGAATTAGTGAAATATAAATATAGCAACTACACTTAGTGTCTTACGTTATAAACCGTGTCAGTATTTATTAATAGTCGATATGACGCTAGAACAAATATAGATAGAGAATAATATGAACTCCTTATAATCCATGGAATGAACAAGTAATAAGAAGGATTATGTAATAATTCATTTCACTTTTAAAATTTAGTTACGCATTTTTTCCATCACCCTGTCACTTAATCCTCTGTAATTACGTGACCTCTGCAAATTGTAATCAATTATGACGTAACTCAAGTTTTCAGTTCTTAAATCCACGGATCATTTACAAGCTATAAGATTTTCACACCACTTATCTGTCTGTGAACTACAGTCAACTATTATATCACCCATTCTTAATGTGTTATTGACTGTAAAAGCAAATGACCTTTGACCTTACACTGCATATATATATATATAAATATATATATATATATATATATATATATATATATATATATTCACTATTGATAACCTGCGTCATTTCATTTATTCATATTCAGGTATGTCAACTGTTTCCCACATCACTGTTAAATCCTATTGCATATTTAGTTGTAATGAATGCATACCACTGTTAATCAACATTTCTCCTGGTTTTATTTTGATTCATAAGCGGAATTAATCACATGAACTTAAAATGTACATAGGTACTGATACGATTTTAATGATAAACGTAATCCCACGAAGGTAAATATGTTATGTGGGTGCCTAATCTGCAAAACTGTACGTCGATGTAGGGTTTCTTAATCAATCTTAATTATTACAAACAGTTACACATGAACATCATTGCTATTCATTCCCATAAAAGTAGTAATAAGATGAAAATTGAAATTATGAAATTTTATTGAAGAATCATTGCTGCAAAAGCAGAAAATCAAGTTTACAAGTTGGTATTAAGAATTCTTAAGTAATAATTGTCAACTTTCTTCTCAACTTCTGTTGCGAAGCGTTCACCATACTTCTCAATGATGCGATGTTTATGGATTCTTTGGCTGCGTTGAATACTTACATACTCTTCACTCCGTCTTGGTAATGCAGTTAATGTATAATTTTGGAAGTTCTGGGTATTGTGTAACTTCCATCTGCTACAATACCTAAGAAGTTGATGAGCTATGCAGTTAGTATTTCATTATTGATATAGCTTACCTGTAAGATTTCTTCTTTTAACGTAGGCAAGTAGCATGTGACGGCAGGGATATCGACACATCATAAACATGCTACAATTGCATTGACAAATGCTTATATCGACTTCATAATGTTGTCCACGGTCAACCATGAACAACCAGTCGCCGCTTTCATATTCCACGTAGACAAAACGCATTTGTTTAAGCTCGTATAACACTTTAGATCTTGCGAATGGCGTCAAAATATTTAGCAAGGGTATTAAACGTTGTGGAGCATTATATTTATAATATCTTCCGGCTATCAATTGATCTTCGACACTTCTTCTACTTGACATCATTTCACTCCATTTTAAAGCCTTGTACATACATTTGTACAGACTGTCACTTTTTCGTACATATCGTTTTACTTGCCGATTTAGCGATTCAACACGATTATTCGTGCTGTTACCCAATGTTAAAACATCACCGTAAAAGGCACGGGCCCACATTGTCTTACGTGCCATCCAATAACGTGACAGGTACTGACCTATCGATCACATCGTGCGCAATCCATCACAAATGTTTCAGTCAACATTGTGTCACCCATTACCTCTTTGAATTGATCTAAAATCCATATCACATCGGAACGCTTTTCCCTCCTAGTCCACGCAAACATTACAGTTCGACCTCGACCGAAATTATCCGTCACCACTATCTGGAATAAGGAATATCTACATAGTAAAACACAACGATAAACATATTCACTTTTTATTATTAGTATTATACGTAGAATCAATGCACACGACTTCTGGATATTTCCTATAGAGTTGTATTTGGTTATAACTACTGAAACATATTCTCGTCGCATATCCATTTTCTAAATGCTCCCTCACTTCGCCTTTTTGTCTAAGCATATCCATTACTTGCTTCCGAGTACAACAACCTGAAATATATTTATATACACTTACCAGTGGAGAGTGTAGCTTTCATAGCTTTGACATTGGCAGCAGTTACTTGCTTACCAGTTCTCTCCTTAATACTTTCGATAACTTCGTCTGCTGACTCACAGTGAAGTATTACGGGCTTCAAGTTCTCTTTTTCTTCCGACGATAATCTCCTTGTCCATGGATCACATACCATCCATGAACTACTACATGGATGATTGTGTATCATCTTGTAGGATTTGATTACATATCCTTGCTCTTCTAGTCTTACACGGAATTTAGATTGACAATTACGGAATTTAGACCTTAAACATAAGATATTAGTTAAAGATCTTACGATTTTTGCCTCACTTTCAAACCTTCCGATTTCCGTTTGTGACCAAACGTACAATTAAACGATACAAACAGGTATCTGAACCTGACATCCTTCAGCAATCTGCTTTCTGTGTGGATGTAACGAGTATAAGTAGTCTAAGAAGCGATAAAATTATAGTTCCATACTTTTTGGAACTCTTTTAAGGCACTTTCAAAATCATCCCACAACACGAAACGCTTGTTCAGTATCATACTTCGAAAGGCATCGGTTAGGTCGACTGAAATTTCACTTGAGGATGAAGCACTAAAAACAGACATGACTAATTATTAAACAGTTATTCCTTGCAACAATAATAACCCAAGGAAATACTACAAATACTTGAGATTTACCTGTGACTTGACATTTCGTTTAGCTTTACTACAATTGTTGGGATCAAAGATCAAATTACAAAGCAACAACAGAGCCAAAGTGCACACTACAAAACAGAGAACGCTAAATTAATGGTTTTGCTATTTATTTCGTGCTTTTTATGTAGCATAGGATGACTTATATATGTAAAAAATTGATACTCATGCAAACCAACCAACCCACGGCAATTGAAATACGGAATGACCGCCTCTAATCAAGCCGTTCAAGGTCGCTGAAACGAAAGGGCGGACACATTTCAAAAGGACCTAACGTTTAAACCGTGCCTGACATTTGTGATTTCATCAATGTTCTTTCCTTTCGTTCATAGGTTTGATTATGCAAGAGAAGGTTTACTGTTAAGCAGAAATCGATAAGTTCCAAAAGACTCTTATTTCTAATCTTCGCATACTTTGTAATATTTTTGTTATTCGAGAGAAATGATAACTTTGTTAATAGGGGATCCACATCAATTATGGTATTTTAAAAACTTTACAGTGCCCTTAGGTATGAGCAACCTGAAAAGGTAAGTTAATATATAAAACTCGACGACCCAAATCGCGCGAAATTCAGTTTTCACCTTTATTTTTCTGTTCAATGTTACTGTAAACGGAGGAGGTAATTTTGATTACTCGGTTTATCAACTAACATTCTCTGCACTTTACGTGAAGATTTCTGTGCTAGTTTATTTAGCTGCCATCGCTAAGCTGACGTTTCTCTATACTCTCGGTGATAGCAACCTATCAACTTCTGTACCTTAGGAAAAACTACATAATCCTACGAGTGTGGTCTAGACCACATATAGCTATGTCTCACAAAATTTCTAACCTAAATGTAGTCGAACTTGAAGAACCATCCAAATACATTAAGCCATACCGAATGAACTTTATCCAGGTAGGTATGTTGAATAGTCAGCATACCATATTTATGTTTGTTGGTTATTATTATTAATGAAAGTGGCAACCCAAGCAAAGAGGAAAGGTGAACATTCTCCAAGATAATAGGAGAGAAATCGAGAGGAAGCTCTCCGAGAAGTCTCCTTTCTTGCATGCTGTGAGGAAGTAGTGCAACATTTGTCCATGTCACCGTGGTTTTGAATTCTTTCCGATTCATACTTCGTGTTGCGTACTAATCATTTTTAGAGACAAAGGTTGAAGAGTTCAATGGGAAGATCACATTACTGAAGAATAATGTGTGAACTTGTATTCTTTCGGTATTTTTCTGGAGTAATGGTTAATCATTTAAATGGTGAGACTATAATTTATGGACGACATTTGAGCGACGCTAAAGAGACTATGAGAATGTCCACTTACATACTACGGTTAAATGAGGCTTATAAAGCAGTGTGAAGAATTAGGATTATTATTTACAGTTGATAGTTAGGGTTAGCAATCAGATAGAATTTCATCACAAATTGACATCAGCTTTAATACCAAAACTATTTACTCAAATAAATGAATTAATTTCGTTCATAAATTATAGTCTCATCAGTTAAATTCTAAATCATCTTAGTACTAGTAGTAGTACCACAGTACTGGCACTTTAAATGGACGGATCAAACCGAGTATTGAAGAGCTTGATATAATATTAAAGTTCGGGATTTGGTGCATGAGAGAAACCGAGTACGCTCAGTCCGCCGTTATGATTTATATATGTGGTCTTATGATTGATCAAAATTGACTTACGGAGTCCATCGATGAAATATGCAGTACACGACTTAACCCAAACTGGTAGTGTTGTAAGACGTATACAATGTATTTGGTCTGACCTTACATATGAATATTTTTGGCCAATCGCATCAGTTTCTCCCCAACATTCCAGTCCCCCACATGTATTTTCACGATTTGTTAAATGAAATGCAATTGCATATTCACAATTCGTTTGTGAGGTTTATCGTAACAATGCTTGAGTTTCTGTCACCTAAGTTTGATGATAACAGTTCCTTGCTAGTAGATAAAAATCACCCTAAAGTAAAGTAATCGATCTTGCGATCACCATGTTAAATTTATTTTAGATTCATGAGAATACTTTTTAATTCATATTTTCCTCAATTATTTTGGCTTATAGGATGGTCGGCAACGCATATGGGATGGTATTGTAGCACATGATAGGTTAGTTTACTAAACTTCCTGATTACGTCCAGTGTTTCAATACTTCTGTATCATTCTGAGAAAAAGTCGTTACTTTTCGTAAAGCAGTTTCGCCCAGGTATGTTGAATTCTCCACCTCTATTGCACTTTGGTTTTCAGTAGTCGTTAGGATTTTTTGCTGATAATGATGTTATCTCATTTATTTCTGATCTATCACCTATCACAGTTATGTTTTTATACAATTCATGTTCCATTTCTTGATAAACTTCATATAGAAAGATTTTTTTGTATTTTAAGTGTTTTCAGCTTCATAATTGTTTTAATTCCAGCATTTGGTACTTGTATTCATTTTTCTTGGCAGGGCCTTCAACATATTCTCTTGAAAAATTGGTTGGTCAAAAACTGTATAATCAGTCTATCGCTCGAAGCTGATTTAATTTAAAACACCATCACTCTCTATATAAACATTAACATCCCACTAAATTTAATACCCTTCAGCCTAGTATTTAAATAATACTTTAGCTGCTTTCCTCTCAGTAAATTTCAAAATAATTATCGAAATGTTGCGTTTGTACAATTATTATGTCGTTTTTTTTACCAAAACATCACAAAAAAGCTGTTGAGTGGGTTTAACACCAAGTTCTACACTCAAATCCACATGCGAAAAAGGATTTGACCATAAGCTGCTTTTCATACTATACTAAATAACCAAGTTGGGTTAATCAGTAGAAGTGTGTACAGAAAAATTCAATTGTTTCTCGGTACATGTTTTTCATTTATTCCATACTCATTTAGAGCTTACTTTATGAAGCTAATTGCCAAGCAACTTAACTAACAAGTTACTGTGCATCTTTGCTTGTACCTGAAATAAAGTTAAACAAAGTCAGTACATATCTCCGTTTTTTTAACAGGTGGATATTAGCTGTTTGGTAAATAGGACTAAAGCATCATGGGTCATTTACTGTTCCGTCGTGTTTTGACAAACTGTAGTTGAAACTTTTTTCCCTCACATTATTGAGACCATAGGATTTTCAAGCACTAACCCTGATTCCTGTATTTTGAAAAGGCTTACAGTACCGCTGCCGTAAGATGTTTAAATAGGCTCTTTACTAGTTTCAACCCTTTTTTATAAATCTTTAATATCGGTCTATTTAAACTTTGATTTGTGATATACTTCGTCCTTGAGTGTTACGAAAGTTTCTGGTGATTATTCTCTATCTACATTAAACCCCATTACGTCCGCCACCATCACGCTAGTCACCTACGCATTGTAGTGTTAACTCATGGAAATTTTCATTGGGTATGAGATGTAAATGAATATAATTAGACAATAGTTCAAGCTAATGGCTATGCTAATAATTACCTGCATGAAAACTTCCTCAGTGATTATATCCCTTGCCCTCAAATGCCTTGGTAAGGCCGAGAGTGGAAAGAATCAGTTCTCCCTCTCGAAATGCTCTCACATGGCCACGTGCATACAACCACTGCCAGGAAAATCCTACTCACTGCCTTCTGGAGGCGGGGGTGTTACATACGAAATCGAGAGGATGGAAAGCGAATATCTGGCATTTTAACCAGGTTGGTGGACACGGAGAGTCCATCTAGGGGGAGTTGGAAAACCCTGATCGCAAAACAATAGTGCACATGGGCTCCAGTATCCTGAAGGGACAAATAGCATATGAACCTATTGCTGATCACCGGCTACCATGGGACTGCATCTCCTGACGTTGCTTCACTGCCTTGTGGATCACACATTTAGGTCGAAGGCTCCGGGTGTGACCCCTTAAGAAAACCATTTGCTTCGGTTTGGGCACCCGAGCAGTATCCAAGCCGTCACACAAATCGAATGATTTATGTGGCACATATATATTTGGTGCCTCCTTGTGACAATGTTTATGTTTAACTAAATAAATTACATTCCTTAACTCTTGCTCGACAGCTAACAACATCGTGGACGGGGTTTCTGGGTGGATGTACAGTAAGATTACAAACATCATCAACACCTGTTATCGTGGATTATGGACCAGTTGGGTGTGATTTGACAAAATTTCCATAACTAACGCATAATAATGCTAGTTTTTATGCTACGAAGCTTAAGTTTTCTTGAAATTTTATATATCCCTTCTATGACAAGCAATATCATTCACAAAGTTCAATGGTTCTGTAATGAAGCTATGACTTAGTGGCTCGGAGAGTCGCCCCCTAAGAAAACCACCTGCTTCGGTTTGGGCACCCGGGTAGTATCACAGCCCTCACACAGAACGAATGAGATTTGTGTGGCTCATATGTATTTGGTGCCTCCTTGTACCAATATCTATGTGTTAAAATAAATAAATAAATCTTCAACTTTCAGTTTATATGTTAAACGTTCGGACCCAGATTGACGTGTTTCCACTTAGTCTATCATATAGTATCACCATCCCTCAGGTAGCGGTTCATAATCAACTGTACCAATATATACCTAGTAAGTGAGTTACATTACCTTTGAAGTTTCGTTTCCGATAGTTATTAAAAATGTGTTCTGCTCATAATCCTCCTTGAAAGCCTAGAAAATATCAGCCATTAGCGTTATGTTCCTCTCAGTCGTCAGTTCCAGACTTTGTAAGTTTCAACTTAAGTGCAAATATAGAACGATGTGCTAAATTGGATCAGCGGGAGATCCACAATCTTGTTTAATTACTTGTTAAAACTTACCATCACTTTAACATCATTTGATGCCGCAACTAAACTTTGTCCCTGAGTCATTCAAACTATCGTAGTAAGAAATGTAGAAATATAATCATTAATGTATTTTAATTTTGTGTATGGCATTTTCTCAAATTCTGGAAGTAGTTTAAAGCAGTCATTATAATATTTCATTTTAGTTGTATACTATTCAAAGTTGAGAAAGCTTGGAATTATCCGAAGTGTAACAGATGGTCCAGTTGAAAGCAGTGAGATTAATCTCCCATCTAGCAAAATTGGGGAAACATTAGAACTGTGTGCTGGAATAATCGATGGAGTTCAAAAGAATCCAAAGTTATATGCTGTTCAAGAGGTTTTGGAAGAATGTGGATATAAAATCAATGAAGATTCTTTGCATTTAATAAGTTCGTTTTTGTAAGTTACCTGTTCATGCATGTGATAATTTATGGCTCCTAGTATTAATACATGAGGTGAAAGTGAATTCTGTTCAGGTTGCAGCTTAAGATCAAAAAGTCGTTTTCACTTATTATGTCATGAGATTAGGCGTAGGTTTCTTTTTGTGTACATGTTAGCTCTTTTTAAGACATGTAATCGGTTTAAGAACAATAGATGCAATTTTTTCATATGGCTTATTAGCAAATATTAAAAATAGCTTCGAGAAGTGTTATTTCTTGTAAAGGTATCTCTTCCAAACACTGGGATGTTGAAAGAAATCGAAAATAATTTTCATTTCAATTGTATTTTAAGTCAATTTCCTGCTTTTAAAATTTTCCCCGCTTAGATGATTAAAAGCTGTCATTTTACAACTCATTTAACAATTCATAAACCCTCAATTAACTCATTTCGTAATTTCAAGCACTGTCATCCCTTTTATTTAAAAAAATAATGACCATTTATAGTCAATTAACTTGCATATTGGTTCTCTAGAATTAATTCATTTTATTTTACAAACCTTGTTGTCCTTTCTCTGTTTAAACTTATCAAGGGATCTGGTTGTATGAAAACGTTCAACTCTGCTTAGGAAAATTACCTATTGCTCCTTGCGGAAATTTATCGATGCTGAAGTATCGCAGTGAAATTAAAGAACAGTTTTCGAAAGCTTGAATACATTTGTTTCTCAACAAAATTAATAATTTTGATGTTCCGTCATTAGACCCTGGATTTATTTTTGTCTATTTGTCCAGTGTTTCATCATGAAAAGATAGATCATCAACTTGTAGATTCAGTTCCCGGAATCATATAGTTAACAGGTTGTCACCATTGTGTGATTAGGTCCCAAGAATATATTGGTATATCGTTTTTTGGTAAATCATTTGTATCTTCTAATATCATACCCTTGGAATTTTGGTGGAAGGCGTCTTTTAATAATATGACTTCTAAAGTAAATGGTTTCTAGCCTATCTTGTATGTCATCAGATGAAATAAATGGGATGATCTGAAGAGCTTGTAGTGGCAGACAAAAATCGCCATAACTGCAGAAGTACAACTATTGACTTAAGTGTTCTAACAATTCACAACCCATCCTATGATATCCAAACAAAACTGAAGAATGTACAATTTTCATAAATTTCAGAATACATTCAAGGTTGAATGCAATCAAACTACTACATATTTATTATTGATAATTTCAGTGAACAGATCTGTTGTGCAATTTTCGCTTTTACTCTTTCAATTTAGATTAAACTAGTTTTCACGAAATCTGTTTTAAACTGATGCAAAACAATGATCTCAGAAGTAAATGGAATACAGATTCAAACCTTACTTTACTTAGCTCATATTGTGGTATTTGCTACTTACATTGACGGATATAAGTAGTATATGGTACCAATCGGAAATAGAATGTATGCCTAAAAAAATCGGGAAGATTCAACTGAATAAAAAAGTTAGTAGTTGTAATAACAACAGAATTGAAAAAATCATAAAGCATGTAAAGGATAACTGATGGGAGATATGCAAATTATATATTCGATGTATGGTTTTAATATTTTACGACAGCACTCTGTACTTTTGCATTAAACAATAAATTGGTCTTTTCTATCTGACTTCTCATTCATTACAATACTAAATAGTCATATAGTAAGCATCATTAGTCCTCACAAAAATTGACCTTTATACATTTGTCGGTATTTTTGACAAAATCAGTTCATTTACTGGTAATCGATTTAATAAAATTGTCATCATTGAAATCTTTTCGTATTAATACACAATAAACTATGAGGACATAATGTTTCGAAATAACATTGATGATTTTATGTAAACCTCGTGTCGTATTTAATTTTTGGAATTCATCTATACACATTATGATACTTTAAACTGTACACATTTATATTTTACAATGAAAAATGCTCGATACTTTATATTTTTATTTTTGTGAAATTTTATATTCTGGGTCAAATGACATTGATTTATATTTAGTTACAGGGAATCTGATGATAATAATGATATGCATGAATTTCACTTAACTTGTTTTATTTTCTAATTTCAGTTCAAGTGTTGGATTAGCAGGTACTGAGGTAACTTTATACTATGCTGAAGTGCATGAAAATCAGAAAGTTCCTAATGCTGGTGGTGGATTACATGAAGAAGGTGAATATATTGAAGTCATAGAATGGCCTATTTCACGAATTGAAGAACTATTTCAATATGGTACCAATGGTACTCATCAACAACCTACTTCACTGTCATTATTGTATGCAATAATGTGGTTCAAACAGAATATTCTGCCTTCTTTACTTTTAGAAAGTTAGTTTTTTTATTGACCAAAATTAAATTCGTATATGTGGAGGAAGGTAGAAGCTTACAAACAATTAGATTTATTTTAGTCACTTCATATTATAAATGTGTCTTACTGTTTCTTAGTTGAAATCATCATTTTTCATCGTATGAGTTAGCCAGCAATACACTTTTCTTTATTCTTTCACTGATAAAGAACACTACCGATCAAATTAAAACTATTTCCATCTTTCTGTAGAAATTCAGTAGGTTTGACGAAAATCCTATAATCTTGTGTTTTCTCTGTTTTTCTTCTGTTTTCTCAAAAGATGATATTTGGTCAATGTTAACAAATATTTGTTTCTTCTTTATGCAATGTAATACTTTTAAGACATTCAATCATATTTAGCTAAATAGGATTTCCTTTTTTAAAAAACTTTTCATTTTCAAGTTCTTAAAAAGTGTACTCCAAGGTAAGTCTGTCATCACAAAACTTTTATTCTTTTATGAATAAACATGACTTTCAGATTGTATCATCTTCAGTCAAAGCTTCAATAAACTTTCTTAGTGCATTTTGTTTTCCTCGATTGTTGTAGGCTGGATTAGTGAGTTATTGAAAAAAGTCCTTAATTTTGTTATGAGTATTCCGTGATATTGTGTCTCACCTTTGAATCCCATAACTAGGTTTATACGTAACGGTTGTATTTAGTATTTTGGTTCCATCGTACATCAGAAATTAAGACTTGTCATGTTTAGATTTAGATACGCAATTCGGCATCTTGTGAATGCATATTAGATAGTCCGTGACAGTATAGTATAGGGACGAGGCAATCAGAATCGAGAATGTGAATTTTAGACCATTGAGCGGAATTCAGATATCACGTTTAGAACAGATGACTGAAAATGAACTTAAATTCGGTTCGTAATTCTGGCAGTCAAATTGGTGACCACTCAGAATAAAGCGGAAATTATCATTCCCAAAATCCTAGTAAGCGATGATGGTCGGCTTGCCTCGTTCTGTTTTCCTACGTTGGCTTTTTGGTGTCGCTGCAAAGCTTTCTGTGGCATAGGATATCATTCCTACGTGTAATCCACGTGTCCGGTGTAACACAGTCTGACATTGTGAAAAAAATAAAGTCAGCAAAAATCACAGTATAATCTAGTTTTTTAAATTAAAATCACGTCGTAATATGATAAATTCATTGATTACGTGAACGTTAACATGACCATTTTACCAGTCCACGATACACTTATTGACGTGACAACGTTAAGCATTGTTTCACTCGATAAAATTGTAGAAGTACTCTTTTATATTCCCGAACACGTCTAAAATAACCACAAAAGATTGCTTTCTGTCAACATAGAGTAGAAATGGTAGTGTTGAAAGTGCCAAATACCCAGTTCTGTTTCCATGGTTTGTATTTGGCGAATCGACACTCCGTAATGCCTGAAATAAGTGTTAATCTGATGCTACCATATTTTATGGATGAACCAGTCAGATAACATGCCTTGCTTTTCTTTTCTAGATTCGTTCACCCATTTTGGCTACAGGATTATTCCTGTTGCCGATTTGTGGTTACAACATGAACCCTTGTCCTTAATATCTAATCCTAACCAAAACCAATGTATGGACTGACAAGTTTATTTGAATTATTTTAAGGATTGAGGGAAAAAAATAATCTGTATTCATGAGAACAAGTTTTTATGTCGTTTTTCATAATTTACAGGATGATTGACATGGAAAGGACTTCAATAACTTTAGTGTGTAAAATCTGTAATTTATGACTAAAGTAATCGAACAGGCTTTATTAGGTCCAGACTTATTATATACAAGTGGATATTATTATGTGGAAACTCATATATAGAAATATACGAATTAAGGTTAACGCTGTCACGACCGCCTGTAACATGCGGTATCCGCATGGGAAATCTGTGATCGATTCGTTCAACAGCAATGTGAGCACATTTTAGAGCATAATTTTGACAATTTACCAAGCTGATAACCCGCTTTGTAATATGCATCCTAAATGGTTACAAATAGTCAGTCTGTCCACACTTAAACAAGGGTGACTGGCATTGAAAAATCTTGTTTGACCCATTGACTGATTCCTTTTCAATCCCCAGATCCTATCAATAAATGTGAGGTATGAACTTGAATTAATCTCAATTTTACTCCTGAGAAACGTGTCAACGTTTACTAGCGACTCAAATCTCTATCACATTCAGTTTATCGTATTACAATAACAAGTGTTTTGGATTCTTATCTACAGGATTACATATATTTGTCTTCGTTTGTGTAAATCCACTCTCAACACATTTTTTATAGCACTAATCAGTTGCTGTTACTCTTAAATGAAGACTTCTTTATTTTGACATTCTAACTGCATATTCCAGCGCCTTTGGTTATAGCTAGAACTGTTCTTAGTTGTTTAAACTGGAACTGTTGTCTCCTTTTTTGGCCAATTTATTCGGTTTTAGATTACCAGTGCTATTTTACGTGACCTGTAATCCTGACTTTCTTCATTAAACTGATCTTTTGTATTATCCATAAAGAATGGAGTTGTCTCCCTTTGATTGTATCGCCCGTCAATTTATCCAATTAGGTTATTGACTAACAACCTCGTAAAACGTTTCTAGGGGTTGTATGACCAAGCCGGATTGTTCGTTTCGATCATTCTGTAGGAGTCATACTCACAATTTTTGTGACTGGGACCAAACCAAACCTAATCACTCTTTCGAGTTTATCAGTGGAAAAGAACGCGCGCTCTTTGAGTCTGATGTGATCTCGTTGATTGCTTACCAATAACCGGAAATATCAAAATTTCACTGCTAGATTGAGATATATAAACACTTTCAATGGTGAGAAACATAACAACAAATAAGACAACCATAATCATACCAACGATAGATCTGCAGTAGTATTTGTCCTAACCACACATTACTCAAAGGTGAACATTAGATAACTAGGAAAATAGAATTGCAACATTTGGCATTAGGAGAAGGCCAAAATGGTGAACGCAGGAACGTTCATTCAATCAGATAGCGCGACTCTGCCTTAAAGGCGTGGTCACTCCTGTGTAACTTACATCTTATATTCATTTCGAATATGTTCTTCAGAGGCGACATAGATTATATTGAAGGCTCTTATGACAGGGCGAGTCACAATAGAGAATGGTGTGACTTCTGCGTAAGATCTTTTAGATTAGGTTTTCACATCGTGAAGAATCTGTAGTTTTGGGATTAGGTCTGTTATTATACTAGTATTAAAACAGAAGCAGACCATAATTCTACAGGTCTACCTGCCTCGACCAACTTTTCGATTCATAATCCCTTCAACTGCAACAAGCACAAATCCTTTTAATTGTAGATACAGGATATGTGCAAAAGTTATTTGATCCATGTTAAGTTATTTAATAGAAAGGTGGGAGAAAACGTTTCAATTTCAGGTTTCTTTCGGGTTCTATTCTTGTGTAACATGGATTCACTTACTTATACTATTTTTCTCCTTCAAAACTTCTATTCCGAGGACTTCCCATTCGAATTATACCACTCTTTACTTTGAGCGTGTTGAATAGCATGTAAAGTAATTACATTACCACCAATAACTACATCACAACTGGAAGAACGGCTAGCAGAGATTGAACTTGTATTTTAGTTGTTAGTAAGTAGCCGAAAATCATCACTTTTAGCAGCAAGATTATAAGAAGGCCCGAAGGCACACCGTATGAAGAGCCTCAGAATAATTTGTGCATCATGGACTACTCGACCTAAACACCGAAACAGGTTCTTCAACTAAGAAATAATGATCAAATTACTAAATAGCTTCCTACTCCCAGGAAAATCAAGAGGCAAAACAGAAGTTGGATAAAATGGCGTCATAAACTGCTCGGAGTGCAGCCTACTGAGGAGAAACAACACAAAAACGATAGCTGTATCACTTGCTCATCGCTCATTAAAACCAAAGGTTCACAATTATATGTAATTTTTGCAATGGCTAAGCTCACTGTTGCTGTGATATTGTAGTACCTAGGCAATAGTACAGGTTCATGTTGAGCAGTCCAAGTCTGCTGTTTTCGTATTGTAGCGGTAAATAAATCCCCAAAATCAATAGCTCTGTAAGTCTTCGACATTGTATGCTGACCATATTAGTTTTCATGAACTCACCTAGCTGAAGGCGCTCGGTCATGCATCCGCACCAGATCACGAGTGGAAACGCCGTGCTCAACATCCCCTACAATCACTAGTCAGATTAGATCAGTCGATCCTCAATATAATGATAGCCTATGAAATATATCTTCGAACCTCATCGCTTCTGTCTTTTGATTTCACTTGGTGGGTACGATTGATAATGGGTGTTCATGGGTAAAGAGTTTCCAAACTGCAAATACCTGTGGCATCTTTAGTACATTTGGGCACAATGTAGAAAAAGCACCCACTGAACTAACATAAAGAATCCTAAACCCCTGTGGGGAGCGAATTTGACACTCCCCATCAGTATATCCAAATCGAAAATCACAGGTTCAATAAACACGTGACTTGACTATGAGAGTGTTGGGGACGATAGATCCCCAAACTCATATTTTTTAAAACTTATTGATTAAATGTTTAAATATTCGTATTGGGGTCATTTGATGAACTGATCGATTAAATGTTTGTATAGCAGTCATTTGATGAACTGATCGATTAAATGTTTGTATAGCAGTCAATTGATGAACTATCGATTAATGTGCAAATAGGTCAATTTATGAACTCATTGATTAGTGTTTACAGTTTTCCTATGACAATATCGATTGTAAATATTGTATAAATACGCGTGAGTTGTGTGTTTGACTTGACTTGTTAGTTGCTGTGTGTCTGCAGAATACACTTCTACACCTTACCCAGACTTCTTGATCGAGTTAGCAGAGTTGGGGGACAACAAACCAGAATAGATATCGAGTCACTGAGTCACTGATCCTTCGTTCGTTGAGTAAGACGCATCAGTAATAGCATTCAAGCGAATAACAAATCATAACAGAGAGCCATTATCCGAGCTCACGCAACAGTGGGCAAGGGGAATAGCTAAGAGATGGCTCTCAAAACTTTAAAAACTGGTGGCAAAGACGTTAGTCAAACCTTCCTGACTTTGTTTGGTGTTCTAATGTTGGAGAGCAGCTTATTAGAAAGTAGGTCAGCCTTTGATAAGGAACAGTAGAACAAATACTGAATGATGCTGAACAGGAGCGCCACTTTAGCTAAACTGGCCGATCCGCTTTAACCGGAAAGCTGTTTAAAGACCGGAAGACGGATTCTGCTATACGGGGAAGCTAGATGATGAAATTATTCATCAGTGGCTCTATAATAGAGAGAACTTAGGGGTAAACTAAGAAAATCAGAGACACATTATTTCATTTGGGTTAAAAGAACATAGTTTTGACTGAATCATGGCTATCTCGCAACATCATGGATGAGGAAGTGAGTTAACAAGGTCTTACATTTTTTTAATATGATGGGATCCACAAATCAGGTAGTGTAGTTCCGCTACGCATTACCAGTTTCTTCTCATCTGTAACAACAAGCATCAACGCAATCCAAGCTAACCACAAATATCCCTACAGATTCATAGCTAAAAGAAGCCAATTAGTGGAGATCTTAATAAATCGATGATACTACAAATCTCTTTTGCCAATCTCATAGACCATTTAAACCTGTAACTTGCAAGCACAGAACACCTCCCAACTATAGTACCAGTTGGGTGTTTGGGAGCTATTCAATAATTCCTATATTTTAGTTCTCCAAAATGATTACACTCAGGGTAGTCACAATATTCAACCTTCAAGAGAATGGAAGCAAGTACCTTAGAGGGGAGGATTGTAAAGACCCAGAATGTTACAGACCGGTCTTGTTCTTTCAATACTGTCGAAGATAAAGGAAAGACTAATTAATGAACATATAAGAGAATGCATGAATAGCAACAGCATCCCCATGAAGCCAAACACGTGTTCAGGAAAAGCGAATTCGCTGCGTTCAACCTCCTCACAGCATGTGAAATCCGGACGACCTATCGGGACTATAAGATACCAGTCCATGTACAATTCCTTGACTTCGGAAAAGCCTTTGACACGGTGCCCCACATGCTTCTCAAACTGAAGGCCTCGGCCTGAAAGTAACGTCCGGTCCGTAGCGCGCACATCATGAAAAATCTACGAGCCCAGTGGCATAGATAAGTGTACTTTTCGTGCCTATAGGTAACCCTCGTACTATTGATAGAAGAAACACGAGAAGTTGTGAGTACGTGTTTATTTCGATCTTAGCGCAGTCACAGTGGAGCGTGGGATTATCTGTTCAGACAAACAAATGCTTTCAGCATTCAATATAAGATAATAAGGAATATAACGCTTATACAAAATAAGGAAGTGAATGAATACTTGAACAATACTGTTTTGGCATATGCTTGGTTGTTTGGGGTCAACTCTTAACCAACCAACCTATGCTGTCACATACTAATACCGACTCCATCAATAATCTCATATATTAAGTACGCCGAGTCACCCCAGCATCCTATCAGAACGTCATCGCCACGCTCCTCTAGGCAACCCTCTGGAGATTGCACATCAAAGAGTGAACAATCAGGTACATTCTCTCTAAGAGTTGCCTCCACTTGGAATACTCCCTCAGCCTAATCAACTACAGCCCCATAAATAGCTTCAAGAGGCGACCCGACCAACACGTATCCACGGACGGATTTCCATCTCTCTCTTGGACCAGATGTGCCTGATACATATCTCACAAATTATCATGGTTATCATCATTGCATACCAGTAACTATTTCCCATGCCTCCCATTACCATCTTCGTTTTCCCTCTTATTTTTCCAATTCCTCCCACCCACACATTACCAAGTAATTAACTTATTTGTTAGTCTAGAAAAATTGTCTTCTCTAAGCACTCGAATCATAAAATTATTTTCACATTCCAATTGAGCAATCTCCTGACTGGTAGTGTGATATCTGGTGGCATCCATAGTTTCTATTATCTTAATACAATCGCACTCAAGCTGCAAGATATATAAGTTCACAAATAACGGCCAAACTGACTAAAAGTAGTGCAGTCGAGTGGGTAGGCTACCACTCCTCGTATATAACTGAATATTTGAAACCGTACTGAAGCAAACAGAAGCGAGTGCAAAGAAATCAATCGATTTGTAGAAGCTCGTGACTGAGATATTGGATATCCATAGACTTACCTACTTTTGAATTTTGCGTTACTATGGTTGGTTTATGTACTAATAGACTTGATACGTCCGCATTATTCCCTTATTCTGTTTCACAGATTTAGTAGATCCAGCATTATGTACCTAAAATATTTTCGACTCAAGAATTTTTATTGCTGGTATCAATTCATCGTCAAATTAGCTTAATAAGCATGTCAATTTGGTTTACTTTCAAACCTTTCTATGTTGTACATGAATATAATCCCGTTATTGAACAATAAGATCCAAAAATTTGTCTTTAGTCTTTTACTATTTTTTGCAAAGCAGGCATTTTTCCGTATAAATTAACTACTTGGCGGTTTTTGGGGATAGTTTAATGTGTTTCGTTTATCATTTTCAAAGATACCAGGCTCACAACAAAAAGCTAACTTCATTGGAACTTTGCATTTGTATCGTCAGGTGATGTTTCATGAATGTCATGTGTTCACTTACTAGTGACTTCGAAATATCAGTTGTCCTCTTGTTAGTTTCCGTATAGTTTCTCATATTGGCCATCTTGTCATTCGCTATTCGACTATCTGAATTCTTAATGTTTTCATTGCTTCTCGTCCTCATTAATCGCCAAGACTATCCCAACACTTCATTATCTCTACGATATCGTAGAGATAAATATTATTTATAGTAGTAAACAATGTATTGTCTTCCTTCTAAGCCAATAAATTTTTTTAAGGTATCAATAACTATGGTGGCTTTTGTGCATTACGTGGAGTAACAATCTTAAACTTGTTCCCATAATATATTTCTGTAACATCGTAAACTGGATAATCATACTACCACGGTAGCTACAGCTGATCCAGTAATATTTATCACCACTGTGTTTTAAGTCTTTAAATATCATCATTATGATCCAGAAGCACTTACGTGTTTATGAAATTCTAACCTAAATATTCGCTTGTTGGCGAGGTTTACATTACGTATGGTTGACGTGTGTTTTCTTGATATGTTCTGTTGTTTGTTTAAGTTTTTCTACCATACGTTCTACGTAACCAGTGGGTAATGTCGTAAAGTTATCAGAAATCAACAATGTTACGGAAAAACAGGTTATGTAAAACCACTTTCATTTATTGTAATCGGGCTTTGTTGCTATGAGTAATACCCAAAGCACTTGTGACTAAAATAATATTCTATATCCTACTAAGGAAGTCTGATAAACATCTCTATCAAGTCTTGATTATTAGTCATATATCCCTTTATAAGATCACAATATCTCATGATCCAGGTATAGGATAAAATGGATCGTACAGTTTCATCTGAATTCAATTTTAAGCAAAAAGATGAAGAAATGTAAAGGTTCCGAAAAAAAACGAACATTGACACTATTCATTAGTAGTAAACCAGATCCATGTAGAAATAAAACAAAGTGTAAGGATATACATGCTCTTGTTATGTGGTTTGAGCTATAACTTAAGGTTGTTGATACTGCCCAGTTGCTTAAACATGTATGGAGTGATGTTCGGCTTAACACTGACCACTAAACCATTGCTACTACTGAGTGATATAGCTGCACTTTCGTGGATTTCTTCCAACAGTTTTAAAAAGTCATGCACATTAAAGTTCCAGCTATTATCGATTTTAAAAGGACTTAAGCTAACGTTTTCGATTTTTATGGCATTAGTCGTTAATTATTCCTGTTTATACGTTGTTACAATCACCAGAAATAAATCAACTTGAACTGGGCATTTAAAGCAGCCTGGTAGAGCGAAATAGATATTTGACCTCTGTGCTAATTTACCTTCACTGTAATAGTGTGAGGCGTTGCAGCTTTGGTTGGTACATGTTTATGTTAGGTCTTGTGTTGTTTCTTTCCTCTTGATTCCCTAATTGTCAATATGTCTATTTATTAGCTGCAGTTATTGAGCTATTTCATCCCATAATTCATTCTCTCAAAGTACTTTATTACCCACAAATATAATTCCCCGGACTTTCAGGAACATATTGGTGAGCATTCAACTAGCATTTATCATGATACTGTTTCTATCGGTGGTGGTTCATCATTTCCGCAGTTCCCTTCCCAAACACGGGGATGGTCAGATGCGACCGATCCGAATTCCGAGTCACTAGCCGTTGAAATTTCTGGAGCAATGAGTGATAAAGACCGTGTTCTATTCAAGATTCATACAAAGGTGATTATATTTTTATAAATAATGTATTTATTGAACATATATCAGTTGTATTGTCAGGATTTGCATGAATTTATTTATAGCAGTATATCTTATACTGTTGCATAATGCGATCTACATAACTAAGATTTTATCATTTTCTACTCATTTCACAGTAGATTGACATCTGTTTATTTTATATGTAAATAAAATCATCCTGTATTCGCAATGTTAACTGTAACTAGGTCTCATTGGACAACATTCTTGTTACAGTCAATATTTTTGGTGATGGTTTATTCACCAGGTACTTGTGTATGGATCACACTCAAAATGTGGGGGCTGGTGGTACTAACCGGTTGCTCAAACCGTAGTAGGTCGGGCTGGGTTCGAACTTGGGATTTGCTATTTGGACGTCGGACGTTATAAGTAATCTAATGTCTATAAGCCCATATATAATCGAACTAGCGAGTTGTGCCTTTAAATGATCACTAATGTTTTTATAGTGTATCAAAGTTCTATTTCGGTTTAAATTTTTAAGAACGGAAAGAAAATTATTGAAAGACTTATTCTTAGTCGACTAACAATTTTACTGACTTCTGCTTTATTTTTAAATTCTAGACTACATTGCCTGATTTTAAGCAAAATGAATGCGATGTACAACGAATGCATGAAGAATTCGTCTGGCTTCATGATCGTTTAGTTGAAAATGATACATATGCAGGTTTAATTGTAAGTTAATTTTTGCATTAGTCAGGCTTCTCCCATTAGGATTTTTCAAATATATCACTTGGAATAGTGAATTTGATTGTTATTTTCAAGTGAATGGTGGAAATATACACTGGTTTATTTTTTGTGGTCAATAAAAATTTAAACAGTTGTATGTCCAAGTAGTACTGGAGCTGATGATTTAAGTCCAACTGTACCACCATAAAAAGAGCAGCACTTTCTACTCCAAACAACCTACGATATTGTCATGTAATTTATTTGATTTTAAAGGATTACAGCTTTGATACTTTTAAAATCTTTAATATTCTACTGACCTATCTTCGTCTCATTGAGATTGTATAGTAAATTTAGTGTAAGCAGTGCTGATGCATTTTGTGGGCTTCTCTGTTCGTCGCGTCGCAAATCGAACCTTTTTCTCTTATGTACTTGTAGCTTTTGATATTCTAGCACCTCAGTGGACATTACTGTCAGATACTGGTATTAATTTAAAAAATGGAAAGAAACAAACAATATGTAACACAATCATCTAATAAGTAACAGCTACATTAATTTGACCCCTTTTTGTATGGGTACACTTTCTAGTTAAAATATTATTAGTAATAATATGTGGGAATTCTCCCACTTTGATGAAATTAGTAGTGATTAAAAATTAATAACAAGTATTTAAAGTTTGTACTATTAACTGTGTTATCAACATAAATACCTGGGGAAATTAGTTAATATGAGGTTGTGAATCATAGTTCGATACCAAAGCAAAAAATAGGCTTTTAATTGGATGCTTTAATAAATACCTAATCTAGAAGGTACCTGAAAGACTCTGATATCAACCTTCTCATCAACCAAGTAGCTTAGTAGCCATACTTTAATCTAAGCTACCTTTGTTATCTACGTTAATAATGCATTTTGAATTCCCAAACTTATAGGCCTTGCAGTAGAACCTATCTGACAATTTTCAATTAAATTACCCAAACCATCTTGTTTATGGCTGTTATCAGACAGATTATGTTATCTTTTTTATGTATATCTCCATAGGAGCATATATTTTAAACAAACATATTGGAAGTAACTGATTTTCCAACCCTTCTAATGATGGTTTTCATGCTGAATTTCTATTATTAACATATGTCAGTGTTTAGGCTTGCTATTATTTTAGGGAAGTTGTCAATGAAACACTCAGTGATTATCGACCAACTGCTGTCCTCATTACTTATTTTGGTTAGTGTTTTCTTTAGCACGGTTGTTTTTCACGGGATGGGGTTACTGACCTCCTACCCAACCCTCCTCCTTTAACCGGGCTTGGTGCCGGTAGTAAGCCTAGAAGAGCTACAGACGTAGTTTATTTCCTGTTTGGCTCTATGGTAATATATATCTGTGCTTTTATATCAATCCTTTGAATATTTTTTTGGCAGAGTCACCGAATAAAATTGGTTTTACCCCACAATCTGTTACTAACTTATGATAATGTCCTCTAAATATTATGTAATCCTTCACTGTAAGCTGAAGTGAGTTTTTAAGAGAAACCATGCTAAAGCGTTGTCAAGACTTCCCATCTGTGTTAATCTACCTTTAGTTATGAATTAGACTTAAAGATTTATTTATTATTATTTATTTTAACACATAGATATTGGTACAAGGAGACACCAAATACATATGCACCACACAAATCTCATTCGATATGTGAGGGCTGCGATACTGCTCGGGTGCCCAAACCGAAGCAGGTGGTTTTCTTAGGGGGGGACTCTCCGAGGCTTCGACCTGAAGGTCTGATCCACAAGGCAGTGGAGCATCGTAAGGACATGCAGTCCCATAGAAGCCGGTGACCAACAATTGGTTCATACGCCATTTGTTCCCACAGGATACTGGAGCCCATGTGCACCATTGTTTTGGAATCCGGTTAAAGTGCCGGACATTCGCTTTTCGTCCTCTCATTTTCGTAAACAACAGTATTGCCACGAGAAGGCAGTGAGTAGGACTTCCCTGGCAGAGGCTATATACGCTTGGCCATGTGCATTTGGAGAGGGAAGGTGGACTCTTCTCACTCTCGGCAGTACTAGGGCATTTGGGGGCATTTCTTAAAGAACTGTGTTTTTATGAGTAGTGGAAATTTCCGTCCTATGATTGAAATAAATAGATTTAATTTTACTTCTCTTAAATATTCCAGATTACTGTTATTTATTTAGTTTGATATTTGAAACTGATACACCATGGACAGCAGTAAGATCGTATCATACAAAATTGTATAACAACATTATAAAAATAATAAAACCAAGAAGCATGCAACAAATGAAAATAATTTGATAGACAATTGCGGTTATACTAGATACTATTATAAAGGGGCAAATATTGAGGACATTGATGTTGTTAGGATTATCTTAAAGATTATTTCTGTCCATATTTTGTCATATTATTAAATAAAAAGGCTGTTATTTTTGTATAAACTCCTTATTATAAACTTGTTAATTGTATCAACTTATTGTCCCTTAATTATTGTTCTATCACTTATGGCGTGATTGTATATAAAGAATTAGTGGTCTGACAATTCTTGTACATGTATTAGTGAGTGTTTGAGATAAATAAATATACCAGATGTGTGAAAGTAGAACAGTAGAAACATGATTACTGTGTTCTATTATCGAACTCAAGATTTGGGGACAGAAGAAGGTTTGCATATCGGTGAACCGATCAAGGTCACGATTATCTCATCAGCTCTCAGCGTTACTAGTGTTAGGCTAGGTGTTTCATTGATCAAGTGAAGTAATTGTTCGATAAACGGATTGACATACTTGTGCTCGAGAACAAAAAATCAGGAGTTTGTTTGGTACGTTTGTTTCCCGAGCTATCAATTAAGAAATTGCAGTTTAGTGAACGTCGAAACAGTTATATTCCAAACAGTATTCTTAACTTTGATCTCTCTGAAGCAGTGCTCAAGTATTGAAAAAACAAGAGTTCTAAAATACTGTCTCCACTGGTCTCTGATCTGAATTTTATTTGATTGTGTCTCACAAAACTTACCATGATATCGTGATATTTCGTCATACGCGACAGTTCAAGGCTTGTTTTTATGAACAGGTTTTGATTTTTAAATTGATCTGTAGAGTGTGTTGATCGGTAGATAGTGATAAGCAATTCTGGTATATAGTCGACCAATATTATGTGCTCACGAGACCGAATTATCGATCCAAGTCTTTCAAATGAACTGATATTAAACAACAACACAGCTGATCAACAGCATAGATTTTCTTTCCAGTCAATTACCATAAACTTGCATACAAAATATGAGACAGAAAAATAAACATAAGCGACTTAAGGATACGGGTTTTGTGGGTCATATATATATACATCAATGAAATTAAAACTTGACTAACAGGCCTAGTTCTTGTATGGCATAATATATATCTGGTAGTGTTTCTAAAAAAATATTTTTCAGTCATGTTTTAGTGTGGAATAATATTACATATGCTTATGTCCTACAAACTGATACTTTATCTTTATATCAGTTCACTGGCCTAATTTGTTAGTAGAGCTTGTGGCTCAATGATTAAGACGTTCACAGGTTTGAACTCTGCCCCCATCCCCAACTGCTTCGATTTGGTCAACCGGGTAGTATCGCTACTCCTCACTCACATTTGGAGTATGGCTCAAGTTTCGGTATATGAATCCTTACTCTAATTGGCTAGTAGTTAATAATGTAGTGAACAGAACACTGGTGGGGAAAATCGAATGTACTTAACACAAAATTACAGGACTGGTTAATAAAATCTAACAATCATAAAGTTATTGCTTAATTTGCAAAATGTCCATCATTTGTCTCAAAATGACTGAGACTTCATTGTTCTTTCATTTTCACACAAATTGCATTCTGTTTCGATTCTTTACTGTTCGATCCTTTTGTCTCTCTGCTTCCAGACCTTTTGTTCACGACTAACATCATATACTACTTATGTCAATATAAGTAGCACACACCACAATAATAATAATGATTTATTATTAAATGAACAACAATTTTTCTTTTTGATTTCTCCTTGTTTTCAACATAAGGTTCCACCAGTACCACCCAAACCAGATTTCGATGCATCTCGTGCTAAACTACAACGACTGGGTGAAAATGAAGGCAATCTACCCGTAGACGATCTGCGGAAAATGAAAGCTGAATTAGAAGCGTAAGAAGTGTCATTAATACCCGTACTATTTTCCTTTTATAAAATTTAAAAAAAATGGAATTTGTAGTTTACAACTGATCATTGACAAGGTCCGTCCTAATACTGTCTGAATTTTGATCTATCGAGTTGCGATGTGGCCACTGACTCAATATCGTTAGCATCATGATTGAAATTTAAGGTGGTGGTTGAAGTTAGTCGACAGTGCACCCTGCTCAAACTACGTTTCGTACTATTTGTCACTAATTGCCAGCAAGGTCTACCTGTCATTTTGAGGAAATTGATACTTCCTGGCTAATATAATCCCGTCTCACTCAGCCTCGCAGTCTGAGATATTACCGCCGAGCTATTCGGGCGGCAAGTAACTAATAGCTAACTAAACTGTTTTTAATTTTCATAAATAAATGTTAATTACTATTGTAGTGCAATCATATATGCTGCTCTCTTCATCATTTAACCCATTCACCCATCCAAGAATTGTACAATCAAAACATAAAATAATAATAGTTAGTAAAACACGTACAAAAGTTCCAATGTCTTCCATAATCGGTCCATTATTTATTTATTTATTTATTTATTTAAGCACATCAACATTGATACAAGGAGGCATCAAATAGACATGCGCTACGTTTCATCATTCGATCTGTGTGAGGTCTGAAATGCTGCCCGGACTCCCAAACCGAAGCAGGTGGTTTTCTTGAGGGGCCACACTTCGATCCTTTGACCTAGAGGTTTAATCCACAGGACAGTGGAGTAACGTTAGGAGATGTAGTCCCATGGTAGCCGGTGACCAACAGTAGGTTCATACTCCATTTGTTAAATCAGGACCCTGGAGCCCATTCGCACCATTGGTTTGGAACCAAGGTTTCCCAACTCTCCTAGATGGATCCTCCATATCCACCAATCCGGTTTAAGCTCTGGACATTGGTTTTTCGTTCTCTCACTTTCGTAGACAACATCCTCACCACGAGAAGAAAGTGGGTAGGACTTTCCTGACAGTGACTGTATACGTGTAGCCATGTGAGAGCATTTCGAGAGAAAGAGTGGACTCTCTCCACTCTCAGTCGTACCAGGGCATTTGATCCATTATAAGTAGTCAGTCAATAGACGGACCAGCATACATGAATTCGCTATTAATAAATCAAGATTTCGATTGCTACGTTTTCCTCACGAGCTATTGATTAAAGAAGTGTGCATACTGACATCACATTCATAAGGTGCGCTTTTTCCCACTCGCTAGTTAACACACCCTTATTGCAAAAAATCATATTTTACACTTTATGGTTTGTAAAATAAGGTTTTCGTTCTTCCACTCCTCGTATTCATTAGATAAACTACATAACTGATATTCTTTGTTATTTGGATCCATTGATACTTCTAAATTCGACACAAAATGTATTACAATTCATGTATTTAGTTGTTTTTTCTTGTTCTATACCAATATGATTTGATATAATTTCTCTCCATGTATTCTACAATCTCTATACTAAATCTTAAGAAATATTCTAATTTACATATCGTTAGTTATCATAATAATAGTAATTATTGTTATCGTTTTGTGTTTGTGATAAACATTTCACGTTATGCCTAAATTTTAAGTAATAATAATAGTTGTATATATTCATGTGCTCGCCTACTTTGTTTTGTATGTAATCTAGCTAAAAAGTTTCTATCATCTAACTTTTATCAACCTATTGTATATTCACCGGTTATGCATGCACATATGTACTTATATGATATAACGGATGGTTCAAAATATATTTCTCTCTCAGGTATACTTTAATAATGCCTTAATACAATAATGAGACTAGTCACGTTATATCAGATCCAGAATTCTCGACTCAGAATAGAGACATGGTTTAACACTTGATGCTATTTTACTCAACACAGTTACAAGCGGTCGCATTCAGTGAGTTCGAAATACAAATCAAAATCAGAGGAAAGGAAATTACATGTTCAAGTCAGTAGGCCAAGTACCTGCTTGTCCACGCTCAGTGACCAAACATATTTTACTTTCACTAGCACATATCAATATGTTTGCTCACAGATAGTTAGGACAGTTGTGATTACCATCTTTTAAATAATTACGTCTGTTTTGGTAGTATGCTGTGTATTCCATTATAAACCAGTAGCTGGCAGTAGTGATACTAACGTATATCTGTCACTCTTAGTGGAGGAGTATATGTCACCCACTAGCATTCTCCATTGAACTATCCTGGACAACCCTTTCCACTTGTTTCCATTCGCTATTCATCCTTTTCAAGTTTGCTTCCAATTCTTGACTCAATGTGTCCTTTGGTCTTCTTCTTTTCCGTTTCCCTTCACGATTAGGGCTTGCTTCGTGATTTAGTTTGATGATTTCCGAAATATATGTCCTATCCACTTCTATCGTCTTTTTCTACTTACCTGTTCATCTGAAAAACTGGTTTTCCACTCCCACTGTAGGCTGTTGCTGATGGTATCCGATCGACGGACACTGATTGTCTTGCGTAGACAATCACTGATAAATACTTCTACCTTTTTGATGATGGCAGTAGTAGTTCTCCAAGTTTCAGCTTCGTACAATAGAGCTGTTTTGACGTTTGTACTCAAAATTCCGGATTTGATATTGGCCGAAAGTTGTTTAGAGTTCCACATGTACTTCAGTTGTAGGAATGCTGCTCCTGCTTCGTCAATACGTGCCTGTATCGGATCTTCTTTGTTTATCGACGATGCTGTCCAGATATGTGAAAGTTTCCACCCTTCCTGGAATTCTTCCATCAAGTGTGATCGGGCTGGTGTATTTGAGGATCGTGCTTTTTCCTTTGTTTATGTTGAGGCCTACTGACGCAGAGGCTTCTGCTACACTGGTTGTCTTGACCTGCATTTGTTCGTGCGTATGAACTAGAAAGGTCAAGTCATATGGGAAGTCTAAATTGTCTAGTTGCATCCAAGTTGTCGGTTGTATTCCGTGCTTCTCCTCAGATGTGAAGGTCTTTATAATCCAGAAAGAGAAAAGGTGAGAGTAAGCAGCCTTGTCTGACTTCGGTCATCACTTGAAATGCGTCTGTCAGCTGACCTCATTGTACGACTTTGCGATGTAGTTGGTCGTATGAATTCCGGATGACGTTGACGATTTTCCCAGCCACTCACATAATAGTGTCGCAAAAGGTTCCATAAAGTCCTCCTATCCACACTGTCAAATGCTTTCTCATAGTCAAGAGAGTGGATATATAGTGATCAGTTCCATTCATTTGATAGTTCAACGATGATCCGCACTGTTGCGATTTTGTATGTGGACGATCGATCCTTACGGAATTCGATGTGTTGATCTGGAAGTTGGGCGTCTACTGAGTTTTTCATCCGGTTCAGCAACACTTGAAAACGTTTTCTGGTACTGACAGTAGCGTGATGCCTCTGTGGTTCTCACACTAGCTCAGATCTCCATTCTTTGGAATTTCGATGAGGTGTCCTTCTATCCAGTCCAGTTCATCGGCATTTGTTCCTCCTCCCAAATCTTCCAGAATAGGACATGAATCATGTATGTAGTTGCTTCTGTGTCTGACTTGAGTGCTTCAGCTGGTATATTGTCCGGTGCTGCTGCTTTGCCACTCTTGATTTGTCTGATGGTCAACCTGATTTTTTTATCGTTGGTGGAGTGACATCTATGGGAATGTCTGTATGTGGTGTTTCGATGTCCGGTGGATTTAGTAGAGCTAGCTTAATCAAGAGTTCCTCAAAATGTCCCTTCCTTCCCCTCCTCTGCTCTTGAATGCCAATGATTGGCTTGCCTTCTTTGTCGTTATCGGTTTCTCTGGTTTACCATATTTCCCTTCTAGATTCTTCGTTGTGTCATATAGTGGTTTCATATTTCCTTTTCTTGCAGCTTTTCCCGCTGTTGTTGCTAGGTCTTCGACGTATTTCGGTCTGTCAGCCCTAATGTTCTCCTTTACTTGCTTGTTTGCTTCTGTGTTTTCAGCTTGTGCCTTGACTTTCTTTGTTCTTGTTGGACTGTTGTTAATTGCTGTCTTCTTATTCTTCGTTTCTTGAATCTTGTGTAGGGTTTAGATGTAAATCCATTCCTCATGATGATGCTTCTTGGGGTGCAGAACCTCCTGGCACGTTGAAGTTAGTGCTTCTTTGATCCCTTTCCAGTTGTGTTCCATAGTAGTTCCTTCTTTTAGTCGATCTTTTATGGTTTGGAAGCGGTTATTGGGAGCTATCTTGAATTAGTTGAGTTTGTCGGTATGAGCTTCAGTGATAGTAACATTGAAAACTAGATATCAAAGAAAATGTGTAGTTATTCAATTAATTACAATCACAAAGTGTATGTTGAATTTGTCATGAAATCGGGATTGAAGTATTAATCAACAGTAAAGGTCTTATAGGTAGATTATATTATATGTGGTTAATTTATTCTTACATGCATGCTTGCAATGACACACCGTTCGTCCTAGATTAACTGTGATCTTTAGTTAGGGTTATTAGGTGAAATCGTTAGAGTATATGTTTATGTTTTATTGTTTTGGTTCAATTTAACTGTATATCAGCCTTCCAATCCATATCAATTATTTTTGCCTGTTTCTTGTTTTTGGATGAAGCGAATCTCAATATATACTACTGAAAATAAAATATCGATTATCATTCATAGATTGTTGCTTGTTTTCTGCATATAACGTACCTCCGGTATGATAAACACTTCAATTGTTCAGTACTTTTTGAATTAAATTGAATAACTGAGTTAACACTAGTCATATAGCATAAATGATTGGTTATTTTCTATTACTTGAGTCGTATGTTATTACATCCCAAAATGTATGATATTGCTATGATTGTGATATAGAAGAGGAATCATTTTGATCAATTAATCATAACATTGTTCACACTGATGAACAAGTTAACCTCATGAATGATAATGATACTTGTGAGCGGTAATATTATGTGATCAATAGCCTATTAGGTGACTCATTGGTTATGACTTTCAATCTTCAGCCATTAAGTTGTATGTTTGAACTCCGTTATGTCTACTTCGTTTTAGGCAACTGTGTAACATCAGTGTAACTCAAAACCAATTACATTAATGATAAATTCTCACTCACACTTATTAAAAGTGTTTAGCACACGAAGTCTTTGATACTCGTCACTTCTCAATTCAATTCACCTCCTCTTAACTATATTTTATTATTCTTTTTATAAGGCGTTACAGAGATTGTTGAATTCGATGATCATAATACTTAGTAAAATAGTTCCAAAAATCCTGTTATAATATCAACATAGCGTATATTGGCATTTACTGCTAATGTTTTGATCGTCAGTCCATAATTCATTTAATTCTAGTAAAAAATGTCCCACAGGTTTATATTCTTTTGTTTACTTATTTATTTTCAGTGAATACTTAGCTACTTTTAAGAAAACAGTTGCAATGCATGAAGTGTTTTTACAACGACTAGCATCACATCCAACATTTAAACATGATCATGGTTTTCGTGTATTTTTGGAATTCGAAGAAGAATTAAACGTACGAAATAAGACAAGGAAAGAAAAGGTATTTTTTTTACAACGTATCTCAGCAACTTTATACATACAACTATGAATAAAAAAATACATTTGTTATTTAAGAATGGTTAATGTTGGAGATATTGTGAGGTCTTTGAGTCTAGGTGGTTTAATTGTGAAGTTTTCATTGTCCTACAGAACAACATCATTAGCATGTACTTCAAACTTAAATAGCGACCTATCAGAATTTTACCTTTCCATCGACTTACAGCCTGTTCTGTTGACCTGGGATGTGGGTGGTTATTGTGCATTACTGTATGATCGTTGTTTGTATTTTCGTTTTTTTCTCTATTGACTTGATCTCTGACCTTACAGTTGTTAATCCTTGTGCTTATTGGCTGATAGATTTGGTTGATTTCGATCTGTTTATTGATTGACACTTAATTAGAGTACTAAGATCTTTTTTGTGTTTCTTTACAGTTGAAATTTTGTCCATATGGATCGATATGAGGAAAGCCATACCGTGTCGTTTAATATCTAACTGGTTTTCATGTAGACGTAGACAAAGAGAGCAATCAGTTTATTCTAGTCTAGCTGTTTGGCTCCTTTTAAACGATGTTAGCTTAAGAGTAATAGTTGAAAGTAACCGCACTTTCAATAATTTGGTCATACATTCAAATCCTGTTCCTGTTTAAAACAACCACATTGTGTCATTAGCAGTAACACGAAAAGTATATCTCCAAGGCTAAGTACATGGACTTTCTCCACTCTCAGTCGTACCAGGGCATTTGGGGGAATATGTAATAACTCTGTAATGTGTTTAAATTCCAAGTGAACTACAAAAGATTCCATATCAAACAATTCATTTCTTTTATTGGATTAGTGATTTGACCATAGAATTATATTGCCGACCATACACAAATTCAGTTATCTATCGAATATTTGAGATTCCACAATACTACGAGCTTACAACGTCATCTCAGATAGAATACAAAAAAATTCTCACCTCATTCCGGTGAGCTCAGATTACCTTGAAGATTATTTATTGTCAAAATCCAGTGGTATTCCATCTTTTTAAAACTTCAACCAATTCGCGACAAGTATTATTATTATTGTTATTATCCTATTACTGTTGGTTGAGTATCTGCCCCAACCATTTTGTTTTTTCCTCTTTAATTTTTATCAAGATATTACAAATACAAAATTCATTTTAATTATATAAATCATTTTGTTTCTGTATTTGACTTTTTTTAGGCTGTTGATTTTTTAAAATCTGTCTCAAAATCAGCTGATGAAACTTTATGGTTAAATAATCAACGTGACAACGATGTTTTCTTTCGTGACGAAAAATGTATCTTAGCTGTTTATCATTCAGCTATAAAAGATGCAACGGTAGCAGCAGATCTAGCATCGAAATGTCGTAAAACTAATGCAAATACTTTATTACAAATTGAATTGGCTCTATCTAATTTAATTCCAAAAGAATGCAATATCACTTCTGAAACCGAGTTAGTTGGGTTGTTATTTTAAAAAAAAATAGATTTTGATTGCTTTGTTTTTTGTTGCAGTAGATTGTGTTCATTTGTGATTACTTCTCTCTCTCTCTCTTCCCACTTCTCCGTGATATCGACTTTTGTTCTGTTTGACTTTTAATTGAAAGGAATGCACTAAATATATACACATTTCAAAGAAATATAAGGAAGGAAAGTATTAATTATTTGCAATACAATTTTCACGGTTTAAATCATGAAATGATCTTAACTAAGCAACCGTCAAAAACTCGGAAGCACTGGACAGCTGTCTCGTCTTGATATAAGACTCCTCACTAGTGCCCATCCACAACGTCATCAGAAGGAATCGAACTGACGACTTTGTATCTCGCGCATGGACGCTTAACCTCCAGACCGTTGAGCCGGTACCAAATGGTTTACATGTCTGATTCTAATCAGTTCACGATTGTACAGCTATCATTCACTGCCTGCTTTGGATAAATGTTTCACAACCGACCTAGATGAACTCCATTGGTCACTACAATTGTTAAATCTAGGCTACAGTGGAACTTTAACTAGATATTGTGGTTGTCTTTTAGCTTATTAATATTTTCTAAATTCCATTTAACGGAAAGAAGGCCATTTCATGTGATTCAACTGTCATAGTAGTCTAGGTTTTCGAAATAAGCACCTAATCAATCATATAAGCAGATCTGAAAGGTTAGGAAAATTTAAAATTTACTTCCTTATCGGTCTTTCATCCTTTTGACAACTCTTTAGCCGGACCGAATAATAAATTAACCTAAAATCATTTTTTTTACAGTGAATAGATTGTCACTTAGTAAACTCAGTGTTCAGCTAGCTGTAATCGTAACGCAGCTCATAAAATAGATCCGCCTATTCTAGAGTTGTATCCACCGTACATCTCTATCTAAATCTTCAGTATATTTTCTTCATATAATTTTAATTCTTCCACTTTACTTATCTCTTTCGACGTATACTTATCATGCTTAGCTTTCCAATCCAATCAATGGTAATTTGTCATTCTACATTCCTCATTCTGTTGATTTCCTTTCGCTACACTGTTAAAAGTTGTGGCATCTCAAACTGATGTACATTCATATAATGTACTACATTGATTATGAATGATTAAGTACTTTAGACTACTTGTAAGTAAACATATAAGATAAATTATGTGAACTCTTTGTAACGGTCGCTTCGTAACGTCGTTGGATTGCGTGATAACCTTAGTTCCGATAACTGTTAATAAATATTGTAATAAATTTATCCTAAATAGGATGAAAGACGCCTCCCAAATTTCACTGCTGGTCACGTTTAATGTATCCCATCAAAAATCTCCCGACATGGTTATATCGAAGCAATCCTCATAGGACACACATGTCAAATAAAATTAATTATAATCCATTACAAAAGTATCAACAATGGGATAATCCCAAGAGAAAAAGTACTATTACAAATTGATAAACAGAGATGGATAGTAACTTGCAGTGGAAATCAAGATTCGCGTTTCGTCCTATTTGGGGCTCGTCAGCCGAACATACCTGCATCCCAGAATTTATGTTTTCTCCAGGACTCGAACCCACTACCATTCGCTTCAAACCCCATCGCATTATTCACTTAGCTTCCAAATTGAATTATGTAAACAATTTTTATACTTCAAGATAATTCAGAGTTTTGCTGTTACAGTTCTAGTATACATTTTATTCGTTACTCATAATTGTGTTTGAATTATTTCTTCTCTTCAACAGTTTGACAACTTTGTTATCCAATTTCTTTGAAAGCTTTCAAGTGAGTTAATTCCTTATTTTTGGTATATAATATTTTAATGTGTAAGATGGTAAGTGGTTGTAGAGTTAGTCAACAGGAAATCCTGTTTCACTTACATTTTGTGCTATTTGGCACTGCTTTTTGGCAAAGTGTACCTGTTATCTTAAAGAAACTTTTAGTGGCCCAGAATCTGATTCCAGTTTGATCAGATGAATGATCATTATCAAATGATTGCTATTGGCGGGCTCACCACTTTGATGTCCCTCTATCTGACTCCAGTAATATCATATGATTGATTGAGTATTTTGAGTTGCTCATCGATTAAGTCGGTCACTTCGTTTATCGGACGCGTAGAATTTGAGATGTTCACCGTTTGCTTAGATGTACGAGGTGAATTTAGTTCGAAATTGAGCTTACCATTTTAGTGGTGCCGTGATCTCTCCAGTTTGATGGTCGAAAACTGCATTGTTTTTCGATTTACCTGGCCTAGCTCAGTTTATTCGCCGAAAGTGTGGAGTGTAGAAGGTCCTCGATTGCCGTAGTTTTATTCGTTCGGTTAGCCGACGGCGGGACCACTACTTTAGTGGAGCCCTTCATTTTGAAGTCAATTAGATCGTATGACTGATTGAGTAGTCCGAGTCGGTTCACTCGCCTTCTTCATTACGCGTCATTTTGTTTTGTTTCGCTTCTCGATCAACGATTGTACGAAATATACTTATTCAAAAATTCATCCTCGTATTTCACTTATTTTATTTCGTTATTAACCAATCCGAATTAAGTTTGTGATTATATACGAGGATTGGCGACATGTATATTTTGATAACAATCAGAAACGATCCAACTGGAGTCAGATTTTGGGCCACAAAGAACTGATGCTCCCTGGCTTTTTCGTTCCCATATTACCTAGCTTTACAATCAAAGACGTTACCACTGAGCTGTTCGGGCTATGACTGACCCGTAGAACTGAGATGTATTTATACTTGATTGATCACTGAATAGTAATGAATGTTATATCTCAAGTTCTCTTTAGTACTAATTGAATTCTATTGATAAAGTTGCAATGTAGTGAATATTAGTCCTGGTGGCTCGACATCGCGTGCATTGTGTTGAGGTGGGATGTACGACGATGGTTGGAGATAATTAACTGGAAGCCGTGAACCTAGGTTTCGTGTTATTTAATACTTGTTAGACTAGTGGCCACATTGCAACTTGTCTGTCGGTAGAATTTGACCAGCACTGAGAGCGACTTAACATGCATGACATTGGTCACCACTCAATGGTCAATCAGTCGTAAATACTTTTGTGTTTAAATAAGAACTATTTTAACTGTCTAACAAATATTTGTTTAACCGTTTATTCCCAACGCATCCCTCACAAATGTCATGTAAAATATACAAAAGCAATTACTTAATATTTATCCACATACTAATGTTTATTCCACTTAAAACGTAATTTTGATTATATATGAAATTTAAGGCTGTCTGTTTTCTTTTTAAAGTTTTTTTCTAGTTTGCGATCTGAATGTTCCTTTTTTTCTCCCGTCCCTAAAACGAGGTTCAGTGTGTGTGTGTTGTTTATCACTTACTTGGAGAGGTAGCATAGTGGTTAAGGCGTTCGGATTTCAACCACTAGGTTGTACAAGTTCCCAAGTTCCATTTCACCTACTTCTGCAGTGGTACACTAGCTCTTGTACGTAAACTGTAACTCAAAGCTTAGTACACCAATCAGTAGTTAGTAAATCAATCAGATCTATCTAGTATATAACTTACTGATTAACTTGCCGACTGACTGAACATGTTAGTACCGTCACTTTAAATAACAAAATACTTTTTATAGATATAAAAATGAGTTATTATTAGAAAGTTACCTATATTTTGTTTTACATTTAGGACTGGAATACATGCTTTTTTCATTTTGCGCTTCTGCTCATAAATGACTACATTCAAATAGACTGTGAATGAAGATGAATGGTTTCTCAGATTGTCCTAAATTTTGTCGAATTTTTCTTTTATGAAATATAAAAGTATATATACAATCGACTGATCATTCAGTAGTTATCAATGTTATGTTTATCTAGTCCTTTTGTGCTGATTCAATCCTATCGATCATGTTGTAACGCAGTCACTGGTGTAAGTGACTTGGCATAACGTTTATTATGTGTTAAGTGGTTGAAGGTAGTATACAGGAAACCCTGAATCTAGGTTTCATTCTAATTGGCACTCCTCAACAAGATCCAGGGTTGTCTTCCAATCAATTTATTGATAATGTCTAACGATGAAGCTAGGTGGTTCGTGTTCCAGTCTCACAAAGAGCATTAGTCCCCCCAAAGTTATAGATACACCTTGTTGATATGTGCCAATTAATGCAAAACTTAATTTCAGGGTTTCCTCCCGAATATTTCTAACTACTTAAATTGGCAGTATTGCTACTGCAGTCGATTCCGAGCTATGTTATTCGATTTATTCAACTGCTGGTTATGATAATCGTGTTGACCAAGCAGTTTACACCTACGTACACGGCTTATCCCATCATTCTTCCTGAAACATCACAAGAAAACAGCGAAGAGATGCGTATTTCGTCCTAAAAAATACTCATTTTTTATGTTTAAAAGTTAAAAGTTAATACTATTTTTTTGGTTTCGGTCAATATGTCATATGTAGACAATATCTGTCACATCAGTCCAAGTTAGCCAGCCATGTGCAGCATAGAACCTGGCACGTACGTTCAACAATCCTAGTTACCATACCACACTAGAGCAGCGAGATAAAGTTGTCAAGACACCTGAGTATTAGAATTAGTAACGTTATCAGTACTATTAGGAAAGATTAGATACAGTAAAAGAGCGAAAGATGGAGCGAAAAGGTGTCGTTACTCATTGTAAAAGAAAACAAAGAGTGAATGCATCTACGAACGTTCATGAGCCATGTCATGCAAAGTTTCTAACTATTGGTTACGATAATCATACGGATCCTAACCAGGTACCGGAATCGGGATCTGTACAGTTATATTTTTCTCTAGTAAAAGAAGCAAAGTACTAAATCTTTATCATTAGATTTTTCTTTCAATTTTAAATGACTTTACTTTCCAGTTGTTCATAAGGACTGTTCCATGAATTGCGTTTTGTTAAAAACTAATGTCGATTATTAAGGATTATTTATTGATTTTCGACATTACCTTTACGTTTGTTCAGTTAAATCCAATCATTTGCATAAGTTTCATAAATAACTGTACTGAATTCAGTGTTTTATTGAGTTTCTTTTTTTACTCTTCAGAATATAGCCTAGTGCTTTTGTGGAATAAAAATCTTCTTATTTTTCAATATAAAAATGATGCTGAATAAACCAGGTAGATTGATAAGAGTATGGAGCCTATTATGTGGGGTAGGCTGAGCAAATTGATGAATGTATCCCATTTGGACACATTGTTATAGACTATTGCGAATTAGTTTTCATAATTTCCACTTTTTATAGGTACTGTTTTATTCTCACGACTTTATGGTAAATTACTGAGGACTGGAAGGAATTCCTCTATTCTGAACTAGTATTCACTGTCTATCAAATGAGAAAGAATGGTACTATCTACAGACTTCATGAATCTTTTTACTAATCAAACAAAATGAGCGTTCGTGACCACACAGGAATATAAGACTCTCCAATCGAAACCTATGTAACAGCCTTGTATCGCCATACTGAAATAAGTCAGGTTATTATGATTAATTGTTCACTAAATTGACTGATTGAAGGTCTTCAAAAAGTATTTTGTTAATTTCTGCTTAGAGTGTATTGTTTTTGTGAGTTAAGTTTTGTATGTTGTTTCTGAAGCTCATGTAATATTCAACGGTCAGTCATTAGACAAAATTAAAAAAAATAATTAACAGCTGAATGTTTTGTTAAATCCGTACACTTTGAAATATAGCTAGATTGATGTAATATAATATCAACGAATTCTAGTCACTTTTTATCTTTATCATGCGAAACTATCACAAAATGGAATCGACTAAATCACATGAATACAGTCATTCAAAATCTATCCTTTCAATTAACAACCATATTTCAATGATGATAATAATAATAGCAATCAATAAAACGCAGTGAACTAGAAATTTTCTGTTTAGCTAAATTGGTTCTATGAGAAATACATTTATTATCTAAGTTAGGGTCAATTCTCGATCAGAATCATGTGTTTTGGGGATGCTAGATCTCCAGAAATCACTTAGTAAACGTTTTATTTGTGTAATATTATTTTTGAAATTCGAATTTCTCATTTTCGCATCAAAAGCGACTATTTTACCTTCAGATTGTATTTCTCAATTGAATGGACCTTACATGTCATTAGTTCGTTCCCTCTTTTAATACGCTATTTTTTGACGTATCCTAACGACATTTTTATACTGCATATATGCACTTGAGTTGTGTGCTTGTTCATTCGTGCTTCTGGCTGCTTGTGGGATATACTTTTCCCTTAGCTGAATCTGATCCCTCTATAATTTTCTCCAATCCACACTGTCAAATGCTTTCTCATAGTCAAGGAAGTGGATATATAGTGATCAGTTCCATTCAATTGATCGTTCAACGATGATCCGCACTGTTGCGATTTTGTATGTGAACGATCGATCCTTACGGAATTCGGTGTGTTGATCTGGAAGTTGATTGTCTGCTGAGTTTTTCATCTGGTTCAGCAACACTCCGTTTAAGACGTTTTCTGGTACTGACAGTAGCGTGATGCCTCTGTGGTTCTCACACTAGCTCAGATCTCCATTCTTTGGAATTCCGATGAGGTGTCCTTCTTTCCAGTCCAGCCCATCGGTATTTGTTCCTCCTCCCAAATCTGCCAGAATAGGACGTGAAACATGTTTTCAGTTACTTCTATGTCTGACTTCAGTGCTTCAGCTGGTATATTGTCAGGTGCTGCTGCTTCCCCATTCTTGATTTGTCTGATGGTCAACCTGATTTTTTCGATCGTTGGTGGAGTGACATCTATGGGAATGTCTGTATTTGGTGTTTCGATGTCCGGTGGATTTAGTAGAGCTAGCCTAATCAAGAGTTCCTCAAAATGTCCCTCCCTTCCCCTCCTCTGCTCTTGAATGCCAATGATTGACTTGCGTTGTTTGTGCTTGAACGGTTAGGGCAGATTTTAAATGGTTTAACTTGTTTATTCTGGTTACCAAACCCTCCTCTATCCGGACTTGGGACTGGCAGTACCTCTAGGAGAGCTATAGGAAATTCTAATCAGTAGTTTGTTTTTATCTTGATATTTTTCGAGAAAAATGTGAAAAATACTTGCATATAGTTCCATCTTATTTTATGTTAGCCTTTTATTGCCATTTTTAGTTTTTGGCACATTATTTTTCTTTTTGTATTCAGTAATTGAGTTGAATGCGTAGTCTTAATCTATGAACACTTGGTTCATTATTATTATTGATAACGTTATTGCCAGCCACCACGATGTCTTTATACTTTTTTGTTAGTTGTACAGTGAAAGGTCGTAAACTTTTCGTAAACACGCCTGAATAGGTTGTGCGATTATTAGATATGATAATGTGTTAGAACAAATCAAAATATATAACTTGCTGAAATATATAGAAGGGGGGGGCGAGTATCCCAGATATTCAAACAGGTCGCCATTGGTGATCATAGTGTGATAATATCGTCTGACTGCAACACTTAATGATTGATACAGATTCAAATCCCCTCGGTGATTGTAGATACAGCTTGTTGAAAAATCCCAACTAGCTTAAAACATTAGGCCGATCGTCAATTGCCTCCAACACATTAGAAATCAAAATGCCTAACTATTAATAAATCACTTGGTTTAGTATTTTGGTGGAGTTTTGTTCTCTGAGCTGGATGGTTTGGTCGTGGAGCTTTCATCGTTCTTCTGAACGACATCATCAGCACAAACTTCAGATAGAAGACTTCTATCTGAAGTTTGTGCTGATGATGTCGTTCAGAAGAACGATGAAAGCTCCACGACCAAACCATCCAGCTCAGAGAACAAAACTCCACCAAAATCATCCACCTGAGCTACAAATCTTCTCCACCATCTCACTTGGTTTAGTAACCGGATTACGAAATATATCAATAACTTTCGATCGCTGCCATAAACTATACAGGCTCGCGTTAATTGTTACCTAACAGTTAATGAGTATTAGTTTCCTTCAACCTTATTATGAGTTTAATGACAAATGTTTGTCTGTGAATTACTGAATCGATAAAACTATTTTATACGCATATTTTAATTTATTGTGAATCAGTTCCAAGTAGTTTCTTGTAATAAATGATTAGTTTGTTAATCATTGAACTCATATACAAGTGTATGAACCACACTCTCAAAAAATTACCTGGTCTTTCAAACCAAAATAGATTGAGCAGAACTGGAACTTCAGATTTAATGAAACTTTAAAAAAAACTATTATTTATATTTGCTAGAAAATTCTAGTTCGTTTGAGTTCGGATGAAGATTTAAAATTATCTGATACATTTCGTTACTATGCAATTGATACTGGAGCTGCACGTGACCTACTCTATCGTCGATGTCGTGCATTAGCAGATTATGAAACTGCTAATCGTAATCTTGATAAAGCTCGAGCACGTATGAAAGATGTTCAAACAGCGGAAGATGCACAAACTGCAGCTAATGAACGTTTCAAATCTATTTCGGAATCAGCTAAACTTGGTATGTGTTATATAATATAAATATCATCATGTGTGTGTATGTTATTACTTGTCCTTATTGATAAAAATATTTTCCCTCTGAGAGTTTAACTGTTATGATTATTGTAAGAATAGTGATGTTGATATAATTTACTTAATTTTATTTTACAGTAATATTTTATAAAGTAATTTGAAAAGATCATAATTATTCAAATTCTTTCAGTCTTTTAAAAAAACTCATCAGAAGTTATACAATAATTTTGTTAGTAAACGGAATACACTCATTAAGACATTAAATAAGAAAGATTAGTTCAGCAAAGAGTTCTCTTTTAGGCGAATTCATTTTCAAAGCTGTACAATCGCAAATATACATATACTTATTTTTACAGGATGATAATATTAATGATAATAAACTTCTGTTATACACGGTGACAGTAAGGTTAGATAAACAAAGGTATTAAAAAGTTTTTAAAACAAGGAAAGTTTAATAATCGTTTGATTGTTAAGGGCTTAAGTATTCATCAAAAGATAAATAGGGAAATTATCATTGGGAAAGGATGGCTCAGCATGATAAGATAAAATGTTGAAATAGAGGTGAAATGTAATCGAAATCATCGTGGAAATAAAAACAAACCAGTTGGGGATAGAAGATTCAAGGAGAAGATGGAAAATGAAGCAGATGGCTGAAAAGAAACAAGAGTATGAAAAGTAAAGAAAAATTTTAATACATTAAGACCATGGTAGAAGAAGAGGTTGTAGAAGTCTCTATTGCACATACAATTCCGGCTTTTCCAGATGTATGGCTATTGCTTCTGCAGTGCAAAGAAGATACAGTCTAATTGTCTTCGGAAGACTTCTACTTACCTTATAGATGACTTGACTGAGTGACCTGTGTTCACAAGGTGTTCGATTATAGGATTTTTTATTGAGCCGTTGTTCACTTTTCTCAACTCTAAACATATACTAAATGTATACAATTTCTTAGTTGTGTTACGTTCTCTGAACTGTTTGGTAATTTAATTATGATAAATATGAAACACTTTACTTATCTAGTATAGTTAGCGTTATTCAGTCAGTCATAAGCAACTTAGGATCTGGCATATACGTACATCGGTTCAAGTCCCCATGTAGTGAACAAGAACACGGGTGGGGACAAACGGATGTTTTTAGTATAAAAATTACAGACTATCTCAATAAAATCTGAATACCATAAAGTCAATCGTCAATTTGCAAATTATCAATGCATCATATCAAACTGTACTGTTCCCGTTGCAAACACTAATCCATTGTCTCCCATTTCATTGTTCATGCGATTTCCTACAAATTTCATTGTGTTCTTGCTCTTCTTTTCTTGATCTTCTTCATTTTCTGCTGCCAGACATTACGTCCTTTTAACGCACGTTATATACTACTTATGTCATTATAAGTAGCTCACACCACACCCATATCAAGTTAGTACAGTGTGATGAAATTACCAGGGCAAATTCTACAATAACAGTATTAGTGTCAACCATATATATCAGGTATCGAAAACACAATTTTAAAAGAAAATATGGATTAGTGGAATGAAAGTTTTGCACAATTATCTACAAACTTGGGATATAAGGGAAAACAATGAGTGGACGTACCTGTACTATTGTCAACGATTCTGGGTCATCTCACTTAAAGTCTGACACGTAGATGGAAATTTTGACCAGATGCACAAATGAGTCCTTCCAACAACATAAGTAGACTACAAGATTTAACCTGTTGTTTGACCTTTAAATGGAATATGTGCACAGGCACCCGATATTTCTGGATGGGGTTAGTCTCTTATGATATATGCCCACATTTCTAGTACTAAGTCTTCATTTGATGATTATTGCCTGAATTGCTTTACGAGTAGTTTGTTTTGCGACATCAATCTCATCTGATTTTGTTTTGGTCTGCCTTATTAATGTGGTAATTTGAAGTGTATGCATCAAATTTTGGTAAAAATCATTATATGGATACTATGCAATTAGGATCAAGAACGCAACTTATAGGTCCTCGTGCAAAATTCATTTGAAATCATGAACCGATCAATGTTAGACCACCATCGAATTTCTCGTGCGGGATCATAGATACACACCGTCGAGGAGCCCTATACTAGGACGAAATGCCCGTACAGTTCTTCCAGGTTTTAATTGGTGGTCTAACATTGATCAGTTCATGATTTCAGAGAAATTCAATGATCTCCACAACCCGAAATTGAATATTTTGTGAATGAATTAATCACTCAACGCCTTTGTGCATTTTTGTATTTCTGTGATAAGGACTCCAACATTTAATCCTTTAGTGCCTACCACAAGTGCCTAATTCTAACCAAGAACTTTGTGTGAACTCGGAAAGACCTATTTGGATCCTGATAGGGACAATCTATATCTACAAGGACATATTAATGTTTTGTTCTTTCTTCAATTTACAGACAGAGTAACCTGTAGAAGACTTTAAAAGATTCATTAACTATTTAGAATTTGTTTACACTTTTTAATATTATTGTTTTCTTTGCCAAAACTATCCCGACCGTTGTTGCTATATTGACGTGGTGGTCGGGCTTGCCTATCGTGTTGAAACAATAGAGCTATACTGGCTGGAACAATTGTTCCTCAAGGTTCTGCCATGCTGGACAGGTCAGTTGAAGAGCGGTAAGACTAAAAGCAACAAACCCAAGGTCCGAAGGCGAAGTCGTACTGCTGACTACAGAGGTATGACGATAGAAAAGTGTTTCCTTCAGACAACCAGCATAGCAGCGATGTTGCTTTTCCACAAGGAGGGACTGGGTTGGAAGCGGTCGACCCTAAGAATGCACACCTCGCCTTATCCCACGAATATCTGTTTCTGGCGGAAGGTTTCAATAAGTACGGAGGTAACATGAAAACTACTCACAAACCGGTCGTGTGTGATCGACCTCAAGCACTTATTCCTTGGGCACTCACGCTCACTAACATCACCTCTTACTCGATTTCCTTTTCAGGTCCCTCCAGGAGAACCCTTCCACGATGTGGGCAACCGGAATGTGATAACCGCTCTTATACCTCTAACAGCACTCAAGACCACCGACTATCCATTTATAAAGGGTGTTTTTTGATTGGCTATCAGCTGGGTGAAAATTAGTCACGATTGTTTTTAGTTTGTACCTAGACTATACTGTTTCATCCATACTTCGAAAACAGCTTTCGTGTTCGTTTTAATTTTAAAATACTCTATTTCTTTTGTAATTCTATCTGTATTATTTTATTTCCTTGTAATAAATTCATTACCTACTCAAGATAATATAATGTACAATTTTATTGATTTTCTTTACAGAATTAGAAGATTTCAAAGTTCGTCGAATTAAATATTTCCATAAAAATTTAGTTGATCTCGCTGAATTAGAAGTCAAACATGCTAAGGTGAGTAAATGTATGTTTTAACTTGAAAAGTCTGTTACAATTAATGTAGTATCTGGCTAAAATATCTGTTAACCAAAGCTGTCATACTTAAATTGATTTTGTTACAATTTACGATGATTAACAACTACTCAATAGGCAAAACAATGATTTATCTTAAAACCTGTCATCAATTACTTATTAGCTGTGTAGAAAGAATTTTGCACACACGCACACATTATTTGACATTTTAACTACAAAGTTTATTCATTAAATAAGAAAGATTAGTTCAGCAAAGAGTTATAAGTGTTCAATCAAACAATCATTAAACTTTCCTTGTTTTAAAAACTTTTTAATACCTTTGTTTATCTAACCTTACTGTTACCATGTATAACAGAAGTTTATTATCATTAATATTATCATCCTGTAAAAATAAGTATATGTATATTTGCGATTGTACAGTTTTGAAAATGAGTTCGCCTAAAAGAGAACTCTTTGCTGAACTAATCGTTCTTATTTAATGTCTTAATAGGTGTATTCCGTTTATTAAATTTTATTCAGTTGTAGTATACTAATTATTGACTTGTAAACGAGACCATAATCATCTTCAAGGTTCATTTTTAGATCTTAACTTAATATATTACTAATTTAAGATCGTTGCATTTCTAAACAGGTAAAAAAGTCTATACATGATTAGAATGATGAAGTCGAAATAAAAAGCATAACCGATCATAGGTATCAATGCGCATATATATATTTGGTGC